GTTGAAGTTTTTTAGCCAGAGATGTAATATCATAAAAATTATATTTTAGGATGATTAGTCTTGCTGTAAAGTAAAGAATGATGTTGTATGAAGAGAGGTCAACTGGAGACACAGTGTGAGTGAGAAATGATGGGCTGAGCTAAATCAGGGGTACCGCATTTCTTGGCTTGAGATGTGGGGTGCATGGCAGTACCATTCACTGACTGGGTATGTGGGGCATGGAGTTGATTTATGGGGGCAGGGAGAACTGGTAAGAAATGATTTCACACTTGGCAATGTTGAGTTTGAGCTATAGTGGCGTATTGAGGACTGGGAGGTGGATGGATATGGGGCTCCTAAGGCCATGGAGATATAATTGAAGCCTTGTGAATAAATGGGATTACCTAGGGAGAATGAACAGAAAGAGGTCGGTCAGGAGAGCTGAGGACAGATCACCAAGGATCATCAAAATTTAAAGATACAGGAAAAGGACAGCCTCAGGAAAAGAGAAGTAGCAGTCAGAGGGGGAAAGGAATACTGAAAAGCATGTGGTGTTGTGGATTCCAGGGGTTCAGAAGAGAATGAGTAACAAACCTTGCAGAAAGAAGATGGTATGTGCGGACTGCTGCATCCCTCACATCCAGCCTCAAGATGGGGGCTTTGCCCTCGTTGTCCTCCCATGGGTACCGTCTGCTCTGACAGTGAACCTAAACAGACGGTTCCGAACCAGATGCAATCCAGGCATTAATCCTCTGGAGTCCATCATATTTTTGTGACCCGAATGTCATCCTTCTAGTAATATTTTTACAAACATTGTATCCATTCAAGTAATTTCATTTACATTGTTAGTTTATACATGCTTGGGATCATTTAAAAATGATCAGATCTTTTAAATATGAACCTCTGTCAAAGGCAGATGTATATACATGTAACAGACTTGAAAGCCTAAGTATAGGGCTTTATTACAGTTCATTTTGTTACTTTCAGGCCACTTCTCTATTCATATCACATAAGTTACAATAAAATGATTAGGCATGTCTATATATATTCAACAAAAAGTCTGTAAAGAGATTTTAAAAATATCCCTAATAGTCTTAAATAGAGTAATCATAAGCGTATGATTCGCGCATGCTTAACACACATCTGTGATGGGTGACAGTAATTACTGTGAAAACAACTGTTTATTAAACTATTAGGAGGAGAGCAGGAGTGTGTAGACAGATGTATAAATAACTTTCTTACTATTCTAATTATTGGTTTCTAATTATTGGTTTTCTAGTAACAGGTAAATCACAAGATTATCCATATGTCAGATTTGTGGCAGTATTAGCTCTTTAGAACAAAATAACAAACTTGGAAATAGAAAAACAGGCCTGTGAGGAACAAAGAAGATTGTTACTTAACTCACAGGTATTTTTTTCATAGGGCAAAAGTCTAGTCATCATCACTGCTAAGTTTGTGCCTTATCTAAAAGTGCATTTACTTTAAGAAGCATTTTTTTTTCTAGAATTCTTAAAATCCTTACTGCCTTAAGATTTCATAGTGGTTTAAAAGTGAATATACTTGGGAATAAAACAGGAAAGAGTATTGGATGTTTCTCTTTGCATTTAATTTAGGAAATTGAGAAAATAAGTTTTGCGTTTTAGGAAATTTTTGAATTGGTGATTTATTCAAAATTGTTGTAAGGACAACCCTCTGGTTAACTAAGACATTTAGCCACTGTTGATCTGCCCTTCCCAAAAGACCATCATTCTCTCCAGTTTCTCGCTTTGTTTTAAGGGCCTCTTCCTCCAGGAAGCCTGCTCATCTTCTCAGGTAACCTTTCCCACAAAGATGCTCCCTGACATTCTGAGTTTGTATTTGACATTTTCTGTTGTTTCTTGTATCTTGGCATTGATGCAGAACAGCTCTGTGAACATAAGATTCTGAGGCTGAAGGCACCATTGAAGTGCCAGAGAGAAACAAGACAAAATGCTAGAAATAAGACTGACTCTTACTTTTGTTGAATTTCAGAGCTGTTTTGTGAACAGCCCTGCTAGTTATTGAAGATAGAAAACCAAAACATTGTAACATGTGTCTGATGGGTATCCAGGGGAAAGGGAAAAATTTGAGATATGTTTTGTCAGTCCCTTAATTATCCTCTATTTAGATATTCACAAGAGCAAATATATCCTAGGCTACAGATGAGTTTTGAATTACATAGAACTTTTTATTTTGACTAAGCTACATTTTAAAGTTTAAGCTTTTTATAAGCATCCTTGCAATTTTCCTTGTACTTGAGCAGATTGTCAAACTGCTGAAGTAGTAATTGAATCTTATCATTTGATTGGATCATAGCATAATTTTACACCTAAAACACAGTGAAGGCCATTTTCCTTTACAAGTGAATTAAATTAGAAAGAAAATAAAAAATAAAGACTGTCAGTTGAAATGATTATAAGATTAAAAGGCTGAGTCTTGGGGAAACTAAGAAATCTTAGTGAATAGAAAACAGTGATTCTGGACCTTGGGTACAAACTAGAATCAGTTAGGAACTTTTGAAACAACAGCAGAAGCAAATACTGATGCCCACCCCTCTTCTCCAGAGATTCTGATATAGTTGGGGCTCAAGTATCAGCCGTTGTTGAGAGCTCCCTGAGGGATTCTAATGTGCAGTCAGGTTTGAGAACTGCCAAAATAGGTGAAAATCCAAGCTATTTAAAGAAAGCATTTCTTAGTAGACTAAAAGTAGTGACTACACAGCTATTTGACAAGAGGAAAGATGAAAAGGAAAGGAAAGGAAACTTTCAGTGCACAGGTAGTGGGGGTTGACATTCCATTATTCGGTTCTGAAATATCAAAGCTCTAAAAAACAAATTTTTCATGACTTGGTAACAAAAATCTAACATATTTCGTGGAAAACCTGAGATGTTTTATAGTCTTCCTTTATCTCATTTGGTATGAATAATCATACATTTCATTGCAGAAATATTAATATGCCTGATTTCTAACAACTTGTTGCCTCCGACCTTGCTGAGGTGTGGTATAGATATGGTAACTTTCTAAAAATGTAGAATTTTGAATTCTGAAATACCTCTAGCACCAAGGGTTTCAGGTCGTGGTAGGGCAGGGTTGTGATAGGGAAGGCCAAGGTAGAAAGTACTTACAGTTTGATTAAGAACAATGTATTGCCTTTGATTACTTACACAGTGGCTCAGCACCTGCACTGGGTGCTGAAAACAAAAACAATGGCCAATATCAGAACGTGTTTCTTGGCTCTGCATGTACACAGTTCTCAAGCCTGATCTGAGAAGGGGTTATCATGTCAGTCACATGAGAGAAACTAAAATTAGCCAACAACACGAGTAGATAAAGTAGAGAAGTATTCATTGTCTTATAAAATACTCTTTAGCATAATAGGCTACCCCCAAATTTCTTGGTTTTCAGCAACACATAATTTATTATCTCAAACAGTTCCGGAATGTCAGGCATTCAGGAACATCTCATAGCTGGATGGTTTTTGCAGAGGGTCTCAGGAAGTTTCTGTCAGTATGCAGGCCAGGATCTCAGTCATCTGAAGGCTTGACGGGTGCTGGAGTATGGTATTTCTTTTTCAATGCCAAGTCCCTTATTAGAACTTAAAGAAAATTCTAGTTTCTGCATTGATCAGAGTTTTAGTTTTCAATATAAACCTAACAATTGTTTGCAAAGGAGGCCTTGAGTCCTTCTAATATGTTCTGTAGATTCCTGCCGAGAGTAGCTTATTCATGGGGAATGCTCTCTTTTGATTTTCATTGCCTTCTTTCAGGGAGCTTTTTCCCTCCCCCAGGTCCTTTTTATGTTCTTGTGAAGTTTCCTGTGTGCCCCTCTATGGAAGATCAATGAATGAGTGTTGATTGCCCTGATTAACACCATAAAAAGACAAACAGGTCCTGCCTCCATGGAGCTTCCATCCAGAAAGACAGGCATTAGTCATACAATTGAAAATGATTAAATGATCGCTCACGTGCTTAAAAAGCAAAACAGAAGTGCTGTGAAGGTGCTGTAGGAGCATATAGTGGGATCTTAACTTAGTTTGTGTTTTTGCTTGATCAGTTTATTAAGCTGGAAGACCCTACCAAACTCAGCACTGCTACCACCTTCAAACATCTGAACACACACCCTTTTAAGTTTAAATGATTGTGTCCTGAAGAGGAGTGAATTTTCTCATTATGGAATTTCTATTGCTACTGAGCATAGATTTCCCAAAGATTATCCTAATGTTATCTTTTTCTTTTTTTCATTTTATCTTTGAAAGTGACTGTGGTTATCCTTTTTGTCTTGGTTTTATATACGTCTTGAGAATGCTTTAAAGAAAGGATTTCAGCAGTCAAAGTGTGTGGTGTAGAGAAGAGAGCAAGCAAGCAAAAATCTGGGCAAATAAGTGGGGTTAAAGGCACTTACGATTCTAAAGGTTGTCTTTTCTATTTCCATTTCACCTACCCTTGAGTCAACAGCACATTCTGTTGTGTGGCATGTTCTCTGAAATGGTTGCTGTAAACCTGTGACTTCAAGTGAACATTCACTGTGTTTGAGCAGAGGTCCAATCAAGGTCCAATTAAGCCCGAGTTGCCTAATTTTTTTAATAGAATTTCTATATAAAAATTTTCTATGTAGAATCTTTGAGGGATAAGTAATATATAGTATCTTGGCCAAGGTATCTTGCCTGTTTTACTAATTTGTTATTTGTATTATTTCTGAATGTTTTATAATTATATTTTTGAGTTTCTTCCCATCATCATGGCAAAAATACCAATACTTACAATGTATACTTTCTGGCAACTAATTTCTGTTTTAAGTAACTGTTACAGATTTTTGGCTTGAAATTTCTATGCAGAGATTTTCCATGTTACTAAGAACAAACAAAAACAAAAAAGTGGCAGCTAACTTAGCTTTCATTGCAGTAGTTCTTACTTTTGGTTGTACATCTAAAAATAAAGTAATGCTTTTGATGGCTGCATTTGTCTCATTCTAATTTGATTTTTCCTCTAATATTTTATTAGGTGCAGAGAGAGCTAGCAGCTGTTATTGCTTTGAAAGCAAGGAAGTCTGGTGAGTAGTCATTCATGTGGCTGGACCAAGGTCCTAATTCTTTGGGGATATTTCACATATATGGTAGTGAGCAGCTGAGTGTAGCAGGAAGTTCTGGTATAGAATGCAGAAAACTACCACTGTTTTTAAAATCATATATCCTACCATCAAAATAGCAAAGGCTGTTATATATAGTTCTTTAAAATTTTACTGCCTAGCTTTAATTTGAAGGGAAAATGAAATTAAAAATTAAAAACATCTTTGTAATCCACTGCAACCAACCATGAAAACAGTCATAAGTATCCAAAAAAAGAAAGCAAACCTATCATAATGACAGAGGAAAATAAAAAACATAACATAAAGGTGGTTTTTTTCAAGGATTTCTATTTTATTTCAAAGTAGTTTCATCTAAAAATAATTGTGTAATGACATTTAACAACAAGCATTTTACATAGGACTGATTGCTTGGTTCGGGTTCCTGATACTTGTAGGAAACAATCTGTGAAAGTGAAATGTGGAAAGGAAACGTCAGCTTTCAAATACATTTTCAGGAGAGAAAGCCATACTCCGCTGAAATTCAGTCTGAAATGGAGACTCACTGAGGTAGAACGACACTTGCTAAGAGAGGAGTGTCAGGTGGAGGCATCCTTTGCTCTTCAAAGGGAGGTCAGTGCTGAATGCAATGACAAACAGAAGGGAGATCCTTCTTGGATAATGTTAAACTGGAAGAAGATGTTTTAGGCAGAAGGACTATGACAAAATCAAAGAGGTGAAAAACATGAAGAAATAAATGGAACAGATATGTCTTACAGGCACAGACCATATATTTTTACAGCTTTGTTTTTCCAGTTTGAATTTGCTTTTCTCTCAGTTACTTTCTGAACCAAATATCCTTTAGTATGAATTAGCTTACTGTATTTATACTTTGTTCATTTGGATGATGTGGAAGACACAAAGACTAGGTGCTGTAAGGGGAAGAAGAGGATGCAAAGAACAGCAATATTGACTCACAGGGTATTAAACAGAGAGGATGGCATGAATAGGGCTCCCCAGGGACTGGCATTGGGTTTGGATATTTGCATAAATGGAGGCCAAGATGGAAAAGAATGTCATTATAAAGGTTGTAGAAGGGAGGGCATGAGGGCTTAGACCTGAGTTATGTTAGAGTTGATCTTGATTCCCAAAGTCAGAAGAAGATAGAACTTATAGGTTATACAAGTTGGGAAGGCAGTGACTTGGAGGATAGGATTTGGGTTTTTTAATTTTCTGAACAAATTACAGAAATGATAAAAAAACTTATAGTGTGTCATTGATGGAGAAAAATATAACAAATAAATATAGACAGGGTAGCTGGAGAAGGAGTTGTTAATTTGCACAGAGTGATATGGGAAGACCTCTGAATGGAACATTTGAGCAAAGAGCTGGAGTCAATGTGGAGATGAGCCTTGTGGACATCCAGACAAGAGCAGCTGAGCAAGAGAGTGCGGAATGCATTAGAGGATCAGCGAGGAGGTGAGAGTGATGGGAGCCAGGTGAACAGGGCAAAACGAGGTAGGTTTTGGATGTCAGGCTAAGTCACCCTTCTGAAGGTGAAGGAAAATGAAGAAGGGTAAGCAAGACATGTACTCATTAGATTGTACAAAGTTAAGATTGGTGTGTGAAGTCATTTTATTAAGCCTTGATGTAAGTTAATGTGTCTCTTTTCCTTACTTGATTTGTGCAGCTTGGAATGTGAACACAACTTCGGCAGCTTCTCAGAGACAGAGTGGAGATGGTCTTTCACACATATGTTAATGATGGGGACATCAAGCTGTAGTTTTTCTGGAAAGCAATTTTTCATTGCATGCCAGTATCCCTAATTCTATAACTCAGTAAATACATGACTACAGGTCCAGTTATAGGGCATAATCAGAGATGCATGTGAAGATTCAGGTAGAAGGAATCTATTACACTTTTTTTTTACAATAACAAAATAAAAACAATCTTTAAGCCCCCATAACAGAAAAATGGTGAAATGGATAGATCAGTGTAATAGAATGTTTAACGGCTTTTAAAATGATTTTTGAAAATTAATATTATAAAATGTTCAGTGGAAAAATGTATACAATGAGTATGTGTTACTTCTCTTTTCCATAATAAAAATAGTTCTGCTTTTCCTTACTATTATATTATAGTACAGCATGCTTATTGGAAAACATTGGTGATAAATGAATGTATGAAGAAATTGAAAAATCATCCATTATCTCACTAACAGAAATAACCGCTATTAGTTTTCTCTTGAATGTTTCCAGACATTTCTCTAAAATGTGTAGATATTATTTTATTATGTGTTGATAATGCATATTTTATAAAAGTGGGATCATTTTATATGTGTGCTTTTATTTTGAGACAATCGCAGATTCACTTGTAGCTGCATGAAATAACCCAGTTTCCCCCAAAGATAACATCTTACAAAGTTATAGGAGAATATCACAACCGGGATATTGACACTGTTGCAGAACGTTTCCATCACCACAAGGATTCCTCATGTTGCTCTCTCACAGCTTTTGCTTGGTACATTTTTAGATACCTTGTGGTTTTAGTTACTATTGGAAATGAATTATTTTCTCTCTTTCTCTCTCTTACTTTTTAGTTGTCCTCTTCTCATTCTGTGATGGTTTCTCAAGGCTTTGCTTTTTACAACACTTGTAAAAAATATACTTTGCTTTTTAGAGCAGTTTTAGGTTTGCAGAAAAATTAAGCAGAAAGTAGAGTTATGTCTGCTGTTCCCCTCAGCGCACATACATGCACACACAGCCTCCCCTACAATCAGCATCTCAGAGTGGCACATTTACTACAATCAATGAACCTACACTGACAAGTCATTATTGCCCAAAGTTCCTAATTTACATTAAGATCTGCTGTTAGGACTGTACATTTTGTGAGTTTGGACAAAAATATAATGATATGTATCTATTATTACAGTATCATACAGAATATCTTCACTGCTCCAGAGTCCCCTGTCCTCCACCTGTTCATTCTTTCCTCCTTCTTACCCCTGTCAACCACTCATCTCTTTTTACTGTCTCCATAGTTTTGCCTTTTCCAGACTGTCATATAGTTTCATTTATATAGTATGTAGCCTTTTTAGATTGGTTCCTTTATACCTGCAATATAAGGTTGACTAATAGCATTGATATTTGGCATTCTTATTTTCTCCTTGGTTTTAACTAAATATAATATTTTTTATTAGAAAAGCAATGTGAGTAAATAAGATTGCTTTAGAGAAAAACAAAAACATTTCTCTCCCATACCCCAAACAAATTTGGGAAGCAATCTAGGGACAAACATAACTGACAAGTTGTATATTACAATGTTCAAGAATCCAGATATGAAAGTACTAGGGATACCTACCTGTTTCACCCTACACTCTCACTGCTTGAGTTGACATTGAAAGTAGATGAAAGATAACAATGGCAAGGTGCAAAAGAGCCTGTTGTAGGTATTGCTTTTATTAATTCTTCACTAGATTCTAATTTGGCACCTATTGTTTGCCAGGCAGTGTCAGGTATAAATATGGCCCCTGCTGTTTTTAAATCACAACATATGTTTCAAAAATAAAAAACATTACTGAATCACTGGCTGTCTGAAAAGGAAAACATTGCTGTGTAATTAGGAGGTGATAAAATGTAGAGACATTAAGCGCAGCCTTAATTAAATAGAGTTCCAGCTGCAGAATGGTATTTTCTGTGTGCTTCTTATTGTTTTTTTTAAACTATTTTAAGTTTTTTTAAAGGAAGAAGAAAAATACCCTGGTATACATCTAATAAAAATAGTATTAAAATGATAGTTGGCACATCTGGGCTTGGCAGAGTAATTGATTAGCTTAATATCTTATGTCTTTCAGTAAAACTGTTAATTAGGGCTCAGGTGGTCATGCCAGATTTATGTCTCAGTGAAAAGGGTTATTAAAACAAGAATCAGTATAAAGAAAAAGTTTTTGGTTTCAGTTTACCATACAACAGAAATAAAAGTAACTGCCAGTCAATAGATTATATAAATGATTGAAGGCTCTGGCTTAATAAAAAATCCATTTTGTTGTAATTTTCTAAGAGGCCATTAGGATGTACCTTTAAACAGTTTTCTTCTCTAAATGCTGACCTTAGTGAATGTGAATAGCATTTTAAGGCTTCACAATATTTACAAATATTAGCACAGATATTTTGTTGAATTGCTTATTCTACTGCTAATGTTAGCTGATTAGAGTTTGCTGAGATGTGTTTTTTCCCTTTTCCGGTGAGTCCACACAGCCAAAGCACTTTTAGTTCCCATTGTCTTTAGATCATATGAAATTTAGGCCATTGTAGGTTTCTATTTCTAGAAAACCAGAAATCTCATATTGGTAAATCTCCTTGACAGTTTTTTATTTCACTCTCTCTGCTTAGCCTGTAGCTAGTTGAGTGCCCTAAAACTAAGTACTTAGGATATTAACGTTTGGAAAAGAAGGGATTCTAGGCTCTGTTTTTGCCATTAAATATCATTGTGGCCTTAACAAAGTGATTCCAGCTTGTATTTTGAGGGGACTGTTGTAGAATCTGGTAGTGTTGGAGATGCCTTCTACTTCTAATATTTAATTATAACAATAAATATTTTTATTATTTACTTTCATTATCCTTAATGGAGTCACAAACTTGTGAATATTTCATTCAGGACTCTGTTAGGTGCAGCTGACAGAAAAACAAACTGAAAACACAAAGGGGATTTATTGGCTCAAAGAACTTGTTGAGTTAATCAGCAGAAAGAGAGAACCTCTACCCTGGTAGGCCCAACAGGAGACTTGGTGGGGACCTGCCTGGAAGGATGCAGTGCCCACTCTGGAGCAGTGGAAGCATAGGGGGCCAGCGTCAGGGGCAGAGGGCAGGCCAGCCCTACATGGGACACTAGGACAGGTGAGGCTCTTCAAAGAAAACCAGCAGAAGGGGAATGACTCTCCTCAGGAGGAACCGTTTGGATTGTCTCAGTCTCAAGATTTAGAGGAAATA